TTTTCAAAAAAAACCACAAAGCTATCGCTGAGCCTATGAATTAGCCACGAGCGAAAAATGCTAACGGGGTGTTCCACAGAAACTCACTCATAACACCCTTATTACTTATCGTAGCTGCACGTCCAACCCATCGATCTGATCGTGAGATGACACAGAATCGATGGGTACTACAGATGTAGCACCTAATTTCAGACTCCAGTTTACAGCTTCCTGCCTACGACCTGCCTAAGACCAGTATCGAGGAATGTTAAGCCCTCCCACTATTTTCCAAGAGGGCGTTGCCAGATTTTCAATTTCAGGTTTTAACCAGGAGATGGCGCTTCAATCGCAAATACAGAAAGACAAGTTTCATGGACTTTCTGTTGTATTTTGAAGAGCATTTGAACACATCAATATTTTAGATCAAGTAAAGTATATCTAATCTTGTAATCCAATAATATATAGTCTTTATATATTAAATAATCATAATAATAATGTACATGTTTACATTACACTTTTTTATTTGTTATGCTCATACTTTTACCTTTACAATCGTTTGCATTAATATGCAGTATATTTTTTGTATATTTTTGTGTTTGCTTCCTCCTGCTCCCTTTCGGACACATACTGTATGATTTATTATTATTATTAATATGAAGATATTATTAAGATAAGATAAGATAAGATGTTACTTTATTGATTGAACATTTTAGTTTAGAATGTGCTGTCCCACGGTAATTCAGAAGGCTCACAGGTCACATTCCGACCATTATTTAAAACAATAGGTGCTTTCACACCGTCTACAGTTTGATTTGTATAGAGGGAGCTCTGTGGCTGAATGGCCAGCGATTAGGTGTGGCGCATTTATCATACAGTAGGTGATCAGAGCTAACTGCCTGCCGTCAGATTTCATTTAAAAAACAGGTCTGATTTTAAGACTATTTCTGCGCTCATAAAGAATGATAAGAATAAGAATAATGCGTATTGAACTGGTTTAATTAATTAGTGAGTTTATTTAACACTAGAACCGCCAATCGGGTCAATTTGTGTGATGTGTGTTGTGTGTGTGCAATGTAACTTTTTTTCAATAAAATATTAAAGTCTCCCAGTCCGTGACTTTTCCTGAAAGTGTGTTATGTAGCACCCTATGTTGTTAAAAATTGCATTCTAATAGCGGGATTTGACGGTGTTAGGTAGGCCTATACAAAAACCTCTGGCGGTTCTAGTGTTAAGGTAATTAGGTACAGTAGAAGCACTTTTTTTATCAGTAACGAATTTAGCAGTTGAACATAAAAGTCAACTTACTGAGGGTCACTTGCAATGACAGTGTTGTGTCTAACTGTAAGCTTGTCACTCAGAGTAACCTACAGTTCATTTAGCTGCTGGAGAAGAAAGATCAGGGGGGGAGGGGGGAGAGAGCTGTGGTTGATGGGCCATTAGTTGAGCTGCCGTTTCATTCAGACTGTTTAAAAAATGGTAACAACGGACTATTTTTCTTAGCGGATGCATGTCAATTTAAATCAATACAACTATTTTTTAAATCAATAAAAACATTTTCTAAATCCATAAAAGCATTTCAATTAATATTGGGAGTCATGTCGTTACTTTGTTGAGAATGTGGCCATGTAATAAGCGGGATAATTTGCAGCGACTTGTTCCTTATGGGGAAAATAACACCCTTCATCCAGATCAAGATCCCTCCGCTACGCGTCGGGATCCTGATCTGCCGACGAGGCTCCATTAAAATATAAATATTTTTAGTGAATTACTGAGTTTAGGCACGTTAATAACGTTTTAATGAAGTTGAATACAGTATATTCATATGTGTCAGTGATTTCATGTCAATTCGGCGAACATAAACATAAATGATCGTGGTGAAGATGATGATTAAATTAGGATTAAAAATCGAGAGCCGGGCTGCATTTCCTCCCGTTCGTTTTTTTTCGACTAAACATTATTTTGTTAAATAACAACATGGTGATGTTTTTTAAATGATTACATGTCTCTTATTTAGCACAGAGTATGATATCCGTGACATATGGATCTTAACAAAGTTCCGCTGTACATCCAGCGTACTGTATCTGACTTTATTTCACATGAGCTCCAGTGTGGAACCCCACTGCACCCCCTGGTGGATCAATGATCCATTGCAGCTGGCTTCATAATAATTACATGTATTTATCACGGGGGCGGTCTCAAGTCAAGCTGGAGGTTTTCCCTTGAGCGAGGGCAGATCACGTACCAATCATGGCCCTCGCGTTTCAAACTGTCTGAAATGAAGCGCTACATCTGTACATACATCATCACTCCATGATAAGAACTCGCGAAGCTACAAGAACAGACATCAAAACATGTGGCGCTAGGTAGCTAAAACCGGCAACATGGCCTACCTTGGTCGTTGTCTGGTCAAAAGCAGTGGCGTAGCCAGGAATTATTGTGTGGGTGGGCCTGGAGAAATGTAGGTGGGCCAGGGGGAGACATATTAAGCGTGGGGTCTGAGCTGAAACTTCATTAATGATTTTTTAATGCACTAATAGAACATAAGCATAAATTAGCAGTGAAAACAAAAAACATAGGCACGGCGGCCTCAGAATGTGTGTAAAACTGACATCCACATAGGGATGGGTATCGTTAAGGCTTTAACGGTACTACTACTTTTATCAATAGCGCTTATGCTTATGCTCCAGGTTCAGTACCAACCACATCATAAAGTACGCGGATGATACAACAGTGGTGGGACTCATCAGGGACAACAACGAACAGGCCTACAGGGAGGAGGTGAAACATCTGACAGACTGGTGTAACACCAACAACCTGATCCTGAATGTCGATAAAACAAAAGAGATCATTGTCGACTTCAGGAACAAAAAGCACTGTCACCCACCACTCCACATCAACGGCACAGCAGTGAAGACTACAGACAGCACCAAGTTCCTGGGGGTGCATATCACAAGCAGTCTGACCTGGTCCACTCACACGACATCACTATTTAAGAAGGCACAGCAGCGCCTACACTTTCCTGCGCAGGTTGAGAAGAGCACAGCTCCCCCCTCCCAATCCTCACCACGTTCTACAGATGGAACCATAGAGAGCATGCTGACCAGCGGCATCTCCATCTGGTCGAGAGACTGCAACGCCAAAGACTGGAAGTCTCTGCAGAGAGTGGTTAGGACAGCAGAGAAGATCATCGGAGTGTCTCTCCCTCCCATCAGAGACACCGCTCAGAAACGCTGCCTGACAAAAGCCCAGAACATTTTTATATAGTATGTCTATTTTATTTATATGTATAGTAAGTCTTTATATTTTAAACGCACACTTTATCTTTAATTTTATCAGCACCACGTCACTATTATTTATTTATATGTACAATTTTAGCAAGTTTTTATATTGTCCTGTTCCTGTAAGCCAGTACAGCGACATTTCGTTTTAATTGTACACTCTGTGTCTTGTTGAAATGACAATAAAGTATGTCTGTCTTATCGATCCGGTCCTTTAACATTACTTTTATCGGTTCTTTTGGAGAAAAAAAATAAGGTAAACTAACTAAACAAATTGTGAACAAAACTAACATTGCTTTTTATTTAAATTAAATACATAATATTTCACATCAAAAGAAACAACAACGTTTTAACAAATCGTATTAAATAATGTGATGACAGAATTGTAAACAGAATAGCTGAAACTTTAACTAAATAAATAACTCAGTTACCTCTAATCATTAACCCATGTTTGTATAATTGAGTTAACTCGGTGTGTTGCTGCTAGCATACATAACACCTGACGTGGAAACGTTACTCGTGGATGGAGCTACAGAGCTGCTAGAAAGACAGTGGAACCCGGTGCATTCCTCCGTCTGAATGTGGAGCACTTTTGCTAAATGTTTAGACACATTGCTCGTGTTACCGCCCTTACATGCTAAACTCTTATTCCACTTTTGGTAACGAGTATTGTCCACATCGACACGGCTATAGTTTAACACACCTCGGAGCGCGTTCTCTCCGCCATCTCCTCCGTGTGTGTGTGTTGCTGCATGTAGCAGCTGCGTGTGTGTAAACTGCCCCGCCCCCTCGCACACAGACGGGGGAGAGATCTCTTAAACGGAGTTGGCGACACTTAAACTGCAATGTAATGTTTGTGTAGCAATAATACATACAACATATATCGGGGGCACAGGTTGTTTATCCTTGACAGTCGCACAGTGGGCACACACTGAGTGTTTTCATATTTAGCAAATCTGTACACGCTAAACTGCAGACCTCAAGAAGAAATAATACTTTCATTCACTCACGGCAAAAGTTACTTTACTTACTATAAAAACTCACGGTAAAAAAAATGCACTCCCTATTCCATTGTCATGAAGGTGGAATCTAACTATATCCAGAATACGTTTTATTGGATCCAGGCTAGAAACATGTTTATTTCTGCTGTAAAGTTGGGCATTTTAACATGGGGGTCTATGGGAATTGCTCCTTTTTGCATCCATCCCCTGTCGGCCACTAGATGAACTGCAGTTTGTGGCACTTCCTTCTGGGCTTCCCGGCTCTGCGCTATGAAGCGCTGATTGGCTGTGGGTGGGCCAGACGTGCACGTGCACAGCTACGCCGCTGGTCAAAAGTGATCTTCAATGGCATTAAAACGATAAAAACGCAACTCACAGGTTTATCATTACTTTGAGAAAAAAGATTATTAATGTAACCCTTTTAGAAGGGAAGATATGGTCTTTTGTTCTGGGACTGGGAATGTCATTTTCGAGCCTGAGACCTGAAAAACAGGCTCAGGGCTTAACAGGTTAAGGTGATCAATGCAGGGCCACAGACGGACGGGTGTGCGACAGATTTCTTGTGTATACACAATAATACATTTACAACACAGACCATTCAAATTATATAAATGATAATGTATGCATAGAAAGCAAAACATGTAAAAGGCATTTCAAAGACATTGAGCTCATACAAATATGAAAAAAACACCAGCTGGTGTTTGATTGTAACTGTACTCATGCTGCACACTTTCTCCTCCAGGTGCTCATCATCATGTCCGTCAGGCTGTGGCTGATGGGAGGATCCATGCCTCTGTTCTCTGAGCAGGACAACCCCGCCTCCTTCTCCCCACACCTGCTTACCAGGTCAGTGACACACGCACGCACACACACACACACACACACACACACACCATGTATACATCACTTCAGGGGACATTACATTGACTTACATGCATTTCCTGGAGACTTATCCTAACCTTAACCAACACATGCCTAACCCTTAACCTTACCCTAACCCTAAACCTAACCAAGTATTCACCCTAAAATTAATGATTCCCTTCATGGGGACCTCCAATTTGTCACCATAAGGGAAGCCAGTCCCCACACGTGACTATGTAAACAGATTTAGGTCCTCACAAGTATAGGAATGCTAGACCACACACACACACACACACACACACACACACATACACATACACATACACATACACATACACACACACACACACACAGCTATTGACCTGAGACCATGTCACCACCAAGACTTTGACCTGTGAGTCCAAGGCTCACAACCTGCCTTATCTGTGGTTAGGGTGTTGCACCTAAAGAACTTTAGTTAAGGTTTTTTTTATTATTATTATCTTTTTTTCTCATAGGCCCATTGCCATCTCCAACAATGAGTATCAGGGAAGGTTATTGATGCCAACCCCCTCACTCCTTTGTGATCTTTCATCGCTTCTTGAGAGAATCTCAGGTGTGGAGGAGGGTTTTTGTATGACAGCCGACCATCAACGATCCATAATTGTGACTTTTTGAAAATAAAAATGTGAGTCTCTTTCAACATGCAAAAATATCTTTCTGCTGTCCCAGTGTTAATTTTGGCAGCTATTTTTGATGTAATCTTTAGATGAAAATGGTTATTAGTTTTAGTCACATTTTAGTCCTTTTTATCCTTCATAGTTTTAGTCTAGTTTTAGTCGACGACAACTCAAAAAGTTTTAGTCCAGTTTTAGTCGATGAAAAATCATTACATTTTAGTCAACTTCTAGTCAAAAAATGTTTCTCTCTTTAAACTAATTCAGTTAGGTAAATACAGGTATCTGAAATTGGAATCAAGGTGACAGTATCAAGTGTTGAAATTCGTAAAGCAACATTTCACTCTATTAACACTTTACTTGTGTGATATCTAGGGATGGGTATGATTAAGGTCTTTTAACGGTACTACTACTCTTATCGATACTGCTTATTGATCCGGTACTATATATAATTATGTTATTATATTGTACTGTACTCAAAATGTTGAGGTACTTTACTGGAGTATTTAAATGTTTTGCTTCTACTCCAGTTCAGAGGTAAATGGTGTACTTTTACTCCACTACATTTATTTAATACCTTTAGTTACTTTACACATCTGGATTAATGATGTGAAATATAATCAACTCTTAAATCAGATTTAAGTTACACCTGGAGTAAATCCACAAGCTACCCTGCAGTATAGTCATTCAAACTAGCTGCACCTTTACCAGCTTTGAGAACACTTTCATGATCAATCATTATAAAACATATCATATATATTATTCTGAAAAGGACCAATCTGCACAATGACTTGGTACTTTACCTATATTTTGATTGCGAATACTTTTCTATTTTTACTTGAGTAACATTTTGAATGCAGTACTTTTACTGTAACAGAGTATTCCTACAATCTGGTACTTTTTTTACTTAACTACAAGAAATGAGTAAGCCTACTTCTCCCACCTCTGCACACCTGAAGTGATAACGTTACTGAGTTAAGGAAGTCGGAAATGTTGCATTTCTCCGACTGAATATGATACCTTTTGGCCAGCTGTTTGGACATACTGCTCGTGTCAACGCGCTTACGCGAAAACACTAATGGCAAACGAGCTTTGTCCACATCGAGCCTTGTAGAGTGTCACTATACATTTGAACGCTCCGTCCCCGGTAAATAAATCTCTGTGTCCGCTGCAGCGTGTCTGTTAGGCCCCGCCCCCCGCACACAGAAGAGGTTTCTCAATACTCTAATTTCCCCTCCTCGACTCCTATCTTCAAGACTTGGTGCCGCCCACAGGAGATGCGAGGGGAACCAAGGAGAGAGGAGGGGAAGCAGCAGGCGGTTGGAGAAATGAGAACTCCTCCCCTCTGAGCAGTCATTTTAAAGAGACATCCATTAATGATGACAGGAGGCACAGCAGCCCTCTGTCTGATGGACAGATGTGTTCATCAGACAGAGTGCTTATATACGACTTATATATTTACTTTTAATTCATTCACAGTGCGGTATAATGAGACAATAATAGGCTACAGATGCGGATATATACACACACATATATTTATATAAATATATACAATTTCAGAATCAAACAAGTATGAGAGCACTCTCATAATAACGTAACACAATCACAGACTGGATATATCCCCCCCCTCTCTCTGGTCGCTGAAATAGGGAATTGAAATGACGGGCCAAAAGTTGTTAAAAGTAAGCAGAGGACATCAAACCAACTGAGACCCGTCTGTCCGCCGCATCTACGCACTGTACAACACACACACCTACACACTGTACCACACACACACACCTACACACTGTACCACACACACACCTACACACTGTACCACACACACCTACAGCTCCTAAAGCATAATCAGGTTACAGTCATTGTATTATGTGAAGCACTAAATGGTCTTAGAAAAATATCGACTCTTTGTTTGAAGATATCAACTAAACTACAGTATACAAATACAGAGAGTAATGTGGGCCTGTTATACTGAGTGATATATATTTTACACACTGCTCTGCTTTCTGTTCTCTCTGGAAACATCGCGTTGCGATGAAAGCAGTTACTAAAATAATATCCAGGGGATGCATGGAGAGCTGTCATTGGCTGAGATAAGTCCGGCCGTGCGTAACGCCTCCACCGTTCCCGGAAATGCATCCGCGGAGGAGCCGTGGAGGACCCATCAGTGTCTCCTCGGTTAGAGCTTCTCCAGAGAGCCTCCTCGGTCCTCGATGTGCATGTAGAGAAATGAGATGTCCTTCACATGGGCGACGCTGAAAATCCTTTCGCGTTCCGGGTCACTGCCCGGAGGACCGAGGAGTCGAGGAGTAGGGGGGAAATTAGAGTATTGAGAACCTCTAGAGAGACACAGGGAGATCGCTCTTCTGGAGTGAAGAGAGCGGAAATAATGATAATGCAAGTTAGAAACGTAAGATGCATTTTGCAGACAAGACGGACAATTGGGGGAAAAAATCCTGCCTTTTGAATGTCCGATAGTACACCCACCATTAACACTTAGTCCCATCTCGTCTCGTCAACGAAAAACAAAATATACATTTTTGTCATCGGTTTTATTATCAAGAATCTATTTTTAGCTCGTCATCGTCTCGTCTTAGTCATGTAAAAAAGGTTGTTGACGAACATTTTCGTCATTGGTCTTCGTTGACGAAATTAACACCGTGTTGTCCATCCACCCGTTTTTCCTACACCTACAGTAGTGCAAGGTGAAACCCCACTGAGAGAAATCTAGAGAAAAGTAGAAGGAACACACTGTGAATAAGCACAGGTTAGAAAAAGAGCCTCCTGCTGTTCGTCCAAGCGTGTAGTGTTTCGGATATTTTTTAGGAAAGCAAGTCAAAGGCAGGTAATGCTGGCTGGTTGCAGAAAAAGTCCCCAAGAAGCTGAGAGAGACGTCCCAGGCAAAAACACAAAAAAGTTGCCACAAAAAACAGCAATCTGGAAACACAAAAGGCTTGGGCTGCAGAGAGGCACTTTGGATGTCCACAACATTAATGATCTGGCAGAGTAGTGGAGTGAGGGCCAGTCTCTTATAGAGAAGGTTGATAATGGGAACAGGTGTGCCTCGTCTGCAGCCAGGAGAATACTAGCCCTGCAGAGAAAGAGAAACAGAGTAGGGAGGGAACAAATACAACCAAAAAACCATGCAGAAACATAACGAAGCTAGCTTTATGGTTTTATTGAGACAAACAAGATGGTTATAATGATTAATTGAAATCCTCATTAGGTTTACAAATGATTCATTTTTATTATCTTTGTTTTCTCCTTTGTCTCTGTCCACCTCAAACGCACCCACCACGCCCCTGCGCTCTTTAGGATGTTGACCTATTCGTACCTGCTGTCTTTCAATGCCTGGCTGCTGCTGGCCCCCGTCGTGCTGTGTTATGATTGGCAGTGGGCAGCATCCCCCTGGTGGAGTCGCTGGTGGGACCATCCGCAATGTGTCCACGGTGCTGCTGGCCGTGGTGATGGTCGCCCCTCTGCCTCAGCTGCTTGTTCTCACTGCAGGTCAGTTCTATCTGCACTCTGCTGCCTCCTGATGATTGTCTGTCCTTGTAACATGCTACTACCTCCTTTTTAAAGAGTGGGAAGAGTTGTACGAGCTGGAAAGAGTCGAGAGTTAACCAGGTTCGAAAATAAAACCCTATGTCATCACTACAGAGTAGGGTTGTGCATCTCCATTACTGAGGCCGATGCGATGCGCATCTCGATACGTTGCCAACGATACATTAACGATACATTTGAAGCGATGTGATACGATTCACCCCTGTTCAATACGATTTGATTCAACATTATGCGATTCGGGGCGATACGATGCGATTCAACACAATGCAAAATAATACTTCAATATGGTACGACAGAAGATTTTGTTTTATTCCTTATATGCAGCAAATCATAAATTAACAAAAAATTGCTTTACATATTTGGTTCCCTCTACTAGTACTGCACATCCCATCATGCTGTTTCTTTTTGACCTTAAAAAAAACACTTGGACCTTTCACAGACTGGCCTTTTCACAAGTCCTTTGTAGTAGTGTTCTCTGTCTCCAGAGTACAGTACCATTTTATAACGTACAGTTAAACAATGTAAGGATGCATTGCCCAGGATTAACAATGTGCAAATAGCAACTACCATAGTGCAATGCCCATACAGCTGCTGCCTGATGTGCTTAACACTCATTCATAGGCTAACTCACCAGTGAGCAGAAAGCAGTGGTTTCTATAGGAACAATAAAGAATACAAATAACCTCTTTCACAAACAGGTATTTCATAACTGCTTACAGTAAGGAAGACATTTAAATTATTATTGGCCGTCACAGGCTGCTGTAAACTAAACACCACTCTCTCTGACAGAACACCTCACTGAGTGATTTAACTCACGTCTAACTTTCAGGTTTCTCTTTTCAGCCGCAGACCCCATGTCGCCTCTTTATGTGCGTCGCTAAGTTCCTCGTACTACTTGTGTACTTTAAAGCGGCACGGTATCGTTTACAATTTGCGAGCGATTTTTGAAGTTGTCCGTCTTTCTTGAAAAATCCGAAGTGTTGCCAAACGTTTGATTTGTAGGTATTTTTCGGTGCGCTGTGTTTCTCTTTCTCCTCGACTTCCATGTGTGTTGATAACTGAGACTCTCGGCCTCCGCAGTGGCGAAGCAAATATCAAAGATCGTCTCTACTGAGTGCACAGCAGTGACTGGGGAGTCACACAGAGTGATGGGGGTGGGCACTAGCATCACGATACATTTTTGATGACATTTGGCCGAGGGTTTATTATTTTGTTGTGCTGCAGCCACACTAAATGCATCCAGGTGTTGCTGGGACTTTGTCCTCAGGCGGTTTATAGATCTCTATTCAGAATACTTTGTTTTTCCTGCTCTGCAAAAGTCACCACTCTTTCGTACTGTGTGTGTGAGCTTGGACCTTGAGATCATATTATTTTCATCCATATAGTTTTCTCCACTATATGGATGAAGGACAGAGGTGTGAGGTTACACAACTTTCATTTGGAACATGAGTGCAAAAATGCTGTTGACTTTTAAAATGCTAAGATTGTGAAATCCCCAAATCTCTGGTTTAGGACCATAATACCTGTGTATTAAGTACAAGTAAAATGTGCAACACAGCAGCCGGTCACACTCTGCGGAGTGAGGTGGCTGTAATGACACTGGTGTTTGAGGCACTCTGTACTATCCACACACTTTCTGGAGAGAAATAATCTTTGTAATAATTGTCAAACTCAAGTTCAAACACATTGACCGAACAAATATTCTGAAAGTAAAATATACATTTCTCGCTAGACATTTAATCAGAAGCAAGACTATCCTAACATATGGAATTGTACACTCTGAATAAGAGGAGAGCTGCCTTGTTGTTTGTTTACAGTGAGAGGAACTTGAACATCATGTGTCATGTACATGCCTCTTGAAATGAATGGAGGGAAGAAATGTAGCCACTTCACAAGATGTGCTATTGTGATACAACTATGTTTCGTGCTGTGGACCGACAGAGCTATTACACATTAGATGTGAGACTGAATTCGCCTCTCATCAGGTAGGTGTCAAAGCTGTTCTCAGCAGAACAAGCCTCTGAGTGGTGCGACTTCACTCATCTCTAGCTCTTAATACTGATAACACAGCAGAAGATGGGTAGAGGCTATGCGTGTATACATGTATACTGTGCTGACAGCAGTTACACAGAGAATTTACTGAGTTTATTGAAACAATGTGTGTTTGTCTGTGCAGGGCCAGGGGAGCAGGGAGATGTTGGTTGGAATGTTATTCCTGATGTTTCCCTTCATTCCTGCCAGTAACCTTTTCTTCAGGGTTGGATTTGTCGTGGCAGAGAGGGTCCTCTACATGCCAAGGTGAGTCTGTATTTGTTCATGTACCTGCCTTCATATATTTTGTGGTGTCCGATTTCTTACTCCCCTTCTTCTATGAGGAGTAAGTCTTTCTCATTTCTTCCAAACATGTTTCTTTGTTTATCTATCAAAGTTTTTTTAAATATACATATCCAACCTTCTGTAGGCCAACTCTTCTTTTTCTTTACTCTCAATTCAAGGCCTCTCCATTTTTCCTTGAGAGTTTTGTTTTCTTGCTCTCATTTTCTCTCTGTTCCGTTAGCTAATCAGTCTGTCCTTCTGTATTTGACATCTTCTGTTTTAATTTCTCTGTTAATACACTAACTGTGTATAAGATCCTTAGGGTTGTGGGTGACTTGGATTAGGTTTACAGGGGCCCATGGTTGTCCACACTACACATTCACAGTGAATCCTCTCTCAGAGCAGGGGCTTTAGCTGGATGCTCATGCCTTCAGGGGAAAGGACTCAGAGAAATACCCTGACTTGATCACAATCAGCGCTCAGTTAACTGACTGCATGGCTAATGCAGCGTATCTGCCAGCAGATGTTTCTGTGTAATGCATTTCAACTACTTTTAAGCTGGGCCACACAGCAGAATCAAATGGTAGACTGTAGTACTTTCAGACACAGAACTGTGTAGTCACTATGTAT